CCCAGAAAAACTGAAAAGGTCACATCACAGTGATACATGTGCACCCATGTTCATATCAGCACAATTTGTAATAGCTAAATCTTGGAAACAACCAAGATGCCCATCAACTGCAAAGTGGTTGGAAAGGATGTGGTATTTTTAGACAATGGAATATTACTCAGCTATATAAAAGGATGATCTTGAGGCCTTCATAGGTAAATGGAGACAACTTGACACTATCCTCATTAGTGAAATAAACAAGAATCATATTTATAAATATCACATTATGTCTCTAATGTATAAAGTAATAATAAATATAGGAGTAACATAACCCTAAATGTGTAATTGCTATTGTAAAAAACAGGAAAAGAAAGTTCTCTAAAGGATATAACTGCATGTATGTTTAAGTGCATAGGATTGATAACCATATTACTAAGTTTTTGTTGGATAGTTGAACAGAACTGTTTGCAGTATCACTGTTTGAATGTTCACTTTGTATGCTTCACTTTTGTAACTTGAACAACTATTTGTAAGAGGATGCTATGTAATTACCAACTAGTGATTTCTTACTGTTTTTTTGAAATTATGTATTATTTTCACCCTTTTTCTGTTTTGTTTTTTATTCTTTAAAAAAGACATAAAATTAAAATAAATTAAACTTCATCATAGATGTTTATCCACAAGCAAAACACATTTTTCATAAGAGATTCAGCACTAGCTGTGGTTTCAGGCATCCAGTGGCAGTGTTGGAATATGTCCCCATGGACAAGGGAAAGCTACTGTATTGCATTTGTCAAAAGCATTTCAGTGTTGCAAGGTCTTGTTTCCAAGTTGGCACCTCAGTGGATCTTCAGCTGACAATTCTTACATTCTGTTTTCCTTTTGGTTATAAGGTACATGATAAGAGCAAGGGGATACATTTATTTTTCTGTATGAGTTCCTGAGTCATTAAACAATGTCCTGTGTGACAATATGACTAAGGCATCCCATAAACTCATAAATGAGGTGGCACTGATAGATGTATGCATATCTGTCTTAGTTACTTTATGCCTGGGCCAAACACCCACAACTCAAGAAAGGATAGGGTTTGATTTGACTCATCATTTTTATAGGTTCCAATCCATAGTTGGCTGTCTCCAATTCAGGATGGCATGGAGAGAATGGTTGCTAATGGCATGGCAGTCAGGAAGCAGAGTGAGCTCAAGGAAGGAGAGAGGGAAATATACTCTTCCAAGCCATGTCCCCAGTGACCCACCTCTTCTGCCCAGGCTTCCCCTCCCAACTTTCCATTTAGCTATAAACTCATCAGTGGACTAATCCATCACACCCTCATGATCACATCGCCTCTCAAAAACCCCACATTTAACCACATACAACTATGGGAGAAATCTAGATATAACTATTAAAATGCCTGTTTCAGGATGAAAATGTCTTCCCTTTCTGTAGTTGAAGTGGTCTAATATAATCAATATTTCCCTGGTTGACAATAGTGCCATTATCAAGGAATCTAAAGTGATTTCTACTGTTGGCGTATTAGGAACTCAAAACTTGTGATTATCATATAATCCTTGAAGGAGTCTCTATAATAAGGGTCATTTATGACTAGTTCCATAGGATAACCTAAGTCTTCACAGTCTTCTCCCTTCTGAGAGATTGCATCATACATCTGTTCTTCTCTTGCTAGATTTTCTTGTTAAGAACATCCCATTCCCATTTCCTTTTCCCATTTCCATCAATCCACATCATTATCCACTCCTTGTAGATTAGCTTTAATTCATATTTCTGATAATCTCCCTTTCTGATGAGAAGGGACAACCAGATTTGTTACTCAAAGTTTGTTCACTGGAAGGATCATAATTACCCACTGTCCTTCAAGGCACCTCGGCGTAGAATTGCAATCAATGCTTTATCTATCCCTCTATCTGTGTATCCTAGGTGGTGCCAGAGTATTCTGGTTAGGTGGTTAATCAGCTTCCAATTTTTTTTTCTATAGTAAAACTGGCCTTTGAGAACTATCCATAAGACCATTGATTTGTGTCAAGAGGTAACCACTATCATGCAGTTAATTTATGCCTTCAAAGTGTTTTGGGCCTGATCTTGTCATCACCTCTGCTTGTTGATGATGTATTGCTCAACTCACCCACATCTGTGGCTTGATGAGTCACAAAACTCACATGTTAGTTCAATTCATAATATCACTTTGTATCGTCTGAGCAAGTGTTCAGGCCTAGTGGTAGTCCGTAGTTATTTCTCAAAAAAAGAAGAGCTATTCGAAGGCATGGCTTTGGCTTAAATTCTAGTAGATTAGCATTATGATTCTTCTATTGGAGATTCAGAGGTGTGTGTGTGTGTGTGTGTGTGTGTGTGTGTGTGTGTGTGTGTTTTCTATACGTCACAGAATTGTTAAACCTCATTGGGTCGATTGATTCAGAAGGTCCAAGAACTGAATGAAGGTGATTCTCCTTTATAACAATTTAAATCATCATTCTAATAATTAGACTCAAGAATTACCCAAGAGTTAGCGGGTGTAGCTCAACAGTAGAGTACTTTTCTATTATGCTTCAGGTCCTTGATCCCTAGCACCATGATAAATTAAAAATTTAAAAAGGGCTTTTCATGTGTGTGTGTGTGTATATATACATATATATACAGACATACACATATATCTACATATACATATATACACATAATGATGGAATACTTTAGTAAGGGGAATATTATTTCAAGTCTATAGGCACCATAATCATTTAACCACTGTCAAATCTGTAGATTATTCTGAGTACTGCTCAACCAAATGACCTCCCCTACTTCAGAATCTCACCATTGACTGAAATCAGAGCCCATTTCAGTGGTGATATCTCCCAGTGCCATTTCTAGGATGCAGAGGATTGCCACTACAAGAATTACAAGGATGCTGATTCTCCCTTTATCAACAGGTTTTACAAGAGGCTTTTGTAAAGGGGTCAAGTTCTGGTTTCTTTTTGAGTGCTTAAATTTGGAGTTACTGTAAGAGCATCACATAAAATATACTCATTCTAATGTTTTTATTTCTCTGGACCTTTTGCTTTTCTCCTTTGTATTATTCCAAAGGTATTCCAGGCATCTCATTTTTATTGAGCTTATACCATCTTGGAATCTAGGCTTCAGCCAACTGAACAAAAACAAAAACAAAACAATGACAATAGAATGTTAGAGACACTCCCAGCTTCTCAGTATAACACCTTGAACCAAGGTTTCTGAAAAGTGCACTCATTAAGAATATATTCAAGATGGTTCAACAATATGTACTGTCCTCTTTGATCCAGTATTCTAAGGGTACATTATTATGTATATTGTCAAGACCTTTTTCAATAAAAATGAGTAAAATGTCAAAATTTTATTTTGGTGTAAATGTTATAATCTTAAGGGCACTTTGTGCTATTCCCATGGGGTATTTTCAGACTGGTCCTCAATTAAGAGTCTGGCAGTGGGGCTGGGAATTTAGCTCAGCGGCATAAGCACCTGCCTTGTAAGCAGGCGGTTGTGAGTTCAATCCCTGGTACCGGTAAAAATGAAAAAGACAAAAAAAAGAGTCTGGCAGTAATGAGGAATGATGAATGAGGATCTTAAAAGGATTAGCCTGACTTACAAGTACATTGCCTCAGGTGAGGTCATCACAGTCTTTAATTTAAGGAAGGCTGGTCCTTTCAGATAGGAGAGGTGGAACTGCTTTGCACGGTAAGAAACGTTAATGGAGACTTGGGGATTTAAAGCTATAAGATATATCTAAATGCACTGGTATTTTTCCATTCTAATGAACAAGTTTCTATTTATTCTCCAGTTAATGCCACAGTTGACACATAAGAGAGCTGGAGAAATTGTGGACTTATAATTTACTTTGTAATTTTGCAATTCAGAGAATAAGACATTTTGTTGAGATATTTGCCTTTATCAGTTTCAAGAGACAAAATATTTTCTGATTATCTGATCTTTATTTGAGTGAGGAATACAAGGCTTAACTAAGACTATCACTTTTCTCCTATAAGCTTTCAACTGCAGTCAGTACTAGCTGTATACTAACTATGCATTCCCAACACAAAGATTTAAAGTATTCTAAAACTTGATTGTCAATGGACATTTTATTTTATACAATGACTGCTGATAATTTTTAAGCATTTGTTTTGTAATTATCAGATAACTGTAACTATCAGATTTCTATTTTCCATTGGGTATGATATCTTTAACACACTGGAACACATTAGATCAGATATTCAATCCCACTTTTGAGGATCTATTTCCCAGAACAATTCCTGATGTAAAATGATAGTTGTTCACATTCATAGCAAAAAGGAGAGCTATATATTTCATCAGAGAGTAATTCAATGCCAGAAAGTAATTACAAAAATTTTGAGGAAGCTAGAAGATGGAGAGAATTAAAAGGAGATTAATGCTATTTTCTATTTGTAAACATCTAGTCTCTCCATAAATACTCATTTAATATTTCTGTGACCTTATGTTTGGATCAGGAATAGCTACTATAAGAGACCATATGCATCAATTGCTGATACCCCAGGAGTCTATTTCTCTCACTGCAGTGCTAGTCTGCTATTCCTGCTGCTATGAGATTTGGGAGGAGACATTTCCGTTTTCCCCTTTCTACTCTAACAGAAAAACAGATTCTTCATGATTCCAAGTTTCTTCTAATATCACATGCATGATTCTAACTGGAAAAATATAAAATGGAAGTCTGCTATCAAGGAGGTCTGGAAGATAAGATTTCCATACTTTCTCCTTGTGTAATGTGGGGAGAATGTAGGAGAATAGAGATGTGCTGAAAACCAATACAAGACCCGAGACATACTACAACATGGAAAAAGGGCAATGTAAAAAAGAGTGAAGAGATCTTGGGAAGATCAATTTCAGGAGCTAGCAGGCAGGAAATGAGAATCTAGATAGAGATACACACTCTAACATTATCTACATTGCAGTCTTCTTGTAGACGTTCTCAGGTGGATATCTACTTCAGTTTGAAGACTATTGCTCTAGACATTGATATTGTCGGGGAGTACAAACCATTTAATCAGCTTCATCAATGCGTCCTTGACATCTTTATTTCTCAAGCTGTAGATAATGGGATTCAACATGGGGGTTACTACACAGAAGAGAACAGAGATCAGGATGTCCATGTCCAAAGAGTATCCTTCTCTGGGCCTGTCATAGTTGAAGTTGGCCATTGTATAAAAGACCACCACCACAGTGAGGTGGGATGCACAAGTGGAGAAGGACTTGCTCCTGCCTGTAGCAGAAGGAATCTTAAGGATGGCTGAGATGATGAGCACGTAGGACCCTGCAGTAAACAGGCAGGGGCTCAGGCCGATGGTGGCACTGGCCACATACAGCACAGATTCATTGACAGAAGTGTCTGAACAGGAGAGCTTCAGGAGTAATGGAATGTCACATAAAAAGTGGCTGATCTCGTTGGGCCCACACAGAGTAAGCATGGCTGCCAGCACTGTATGTGTCACAGAATTCACCAGTGCACAGAGCCAGGATCCAGTCACCAGGCAAACACAGACCTTCACACTCATGAGTACTGGATATTGAAGAGGATGGCAGATGGCCACATAGCGATCATAAGCCATGGCAGCCAGTAAGACACATTCAGTGCCAGCACATGTCACAAAGAAAAAGATCTGGGAAAGGCAGCCTTCATAGGAGATAGTCTTTTTCTCCCGGAAGAAGTTCACCAACATGACTGGAATGGTGGTAGATGTATAGCAGATGTCTAAGAAGCTCAGGTTGCTGAGGAAATAATACATTGGGGTGTGAAGAGCAGGACAGACCCTGGTAGCCATTATTATGAGGATGTTCCCCAGGAGAGTTGTCAAGTAAATGACCAAGAAGACCAGGAAGAAGAAGCCCTGCAAGTTGGAGTGATTTGAAAATCCCAAGAAGATGAATTCAGTGACAAATGTCTGATTGTTCATTTCAAATGGTGTCATAGCTATGAAACAGAAAGAAAGAAACCACAATAACACATTAAGAACACCTAAAAATGGGTTTATAAGTGGACAGAGCTAAGTTGAGTAATGTTACATAGTCTTCCCATAGATTGTTTATTATTACTGTTTAGTAAGAATAAATAGATACTTGGACTAAACCTATAAGAAGTTACTAAGTTCTGCATGTTACAAGGTATGCAGTAACTTTCTTACAACACTGTATCACATGTATTAAACTATTTTATCATCATTTTAAGTGATAAAATGATTATGAAAAGTTAAGAAAATGCAGGAAGGTATGAAGAACAATATAAACATTCACAAAATCAGTACTAGTTTTCTCTGTAATACTTTCTGGCTATTGTCCTCCATAAAAATATTTATATATACTCATAAATTTAATATATTAGAAGCACAAATCCCCAAACTTGCATTGTATTCTACAGCACAAAGAAATTTAATAGTTTTTTGATTGAACATTTACATAGCTTCTACTCCTTTTGCTATTATAAATAATGAAATTAAAAATTCTCATATATAAGATCTGTGAACATATCTGATTATTTTTCAGAGTAACATTTTAAATCAGTATACTTTTAAATAAATTGATCTCATTTTCTCAGTAGGAATTTCTACCCTTTCAAAGTTTGTAAGATATGGGCTTCCTGTCAGGACCAGTAAGTCCAGCAGAGACGTGGAACCCCGCCCCAGTCCAGCAGAACTCTCTTCCTTGCCTGGGGGCCAGGCCAAGGCTTCCTGTCAGGACTAGTAAGTCCAGTGGGGGCACGGAACCCCGCCCAGTCCAGGGGAACTCTCTCCCTCACTTGGAACAACACTTGAAGCTAGAAAATATAGGAAAAGGACAAAATGAAAGACCAAAATGCAATCTCAACCATCCAGCCCATCCCAAGAAAGCCTAGGAGCCATATGCATAGAAGAAAATATATGCCACATACCTGAAGTACCTGAAATAATAGTCACTGAAATAAAGAAGCAACTCTGGGAAGCCTTAAAAAATTCAAATTAGAAATAATCTCTCAGGTAAAAGAAGAAATGATAAAAGAAATGAAGGAGATGCTGAACATATCTAAAGAAGACACAGTTAAAAAAATGGAGGAACTAAACAAAAAGATAGAATCCCTGGATGAACAATATAAGAAACAAACAGAATATATAAAGCAGATGCAAAGAGAGATACAGGAAATCAAAAACTCCATTGAAAGTCGTAAAAACTGCCTCAATGAATGTGAAGATAGAATTTCAGACCTCAAAAACAAGATTGCAGCCAGTGAACAGGAAAGGAAAGATCTTTTAAAAATAAGAAATCAGAAACAACAACTCAACACCTGCAAGATGATGCAAAGAGGAACAACATAAGGTTGATAGGGATAAATGAAAAAGAAGGGCACAACATAAAGGATGTCAAGAGGATATTTAGAGAATTAATAGCTGAAAATTTGCCAAACATGAGATTGGAAACTGATATCAAGATCAATGAAGCATATAGAACTCCAAATAGCCATAACCAAAATAAAACTACACCCAGACACATAATAATGGCCATCACAGAAATCAAACAAAAGAATAGAATATTAAAAGCTGTCAGATAGAAAAGACAGATCACCTATAAAGGAAAACCTATCAAAATTACAGCAGACTTCTCAGCACAAACAATAAAGTCAAGAAGAACATGAGTGAAGTATTTCAGATCCTAAAGGAAAATGATTTCCAACCTAGACTGATGTAACCTGAAAAACTGCCCTTCAAAATCAATGGAGAAATAAGATACTTCCATGACAAAGAACAGCTGAAAAATTACATGATCACCAAGCCAACCCTGCAAAGAATACTGAAAGACAGCCTAGATACATTTAGGAAAAAACCACTAAATAAAGCAGACAATTAAACAAAACAGAAAGTTAAAGATGCAACAGCAGAAAGATAACATGTCAACAATAAAGCAATATATAACAGTTATAACCATTAATGTAAATGGTCTCAATGCACCAATTAAAAGAAATAGACTGGCAGAATGGATCAAGAAAAAAATCCAACCATATGCTGTCTACAAGAAACCCATCTAACCCAAAAGGATACTCACAGACTGAAAGTCAAAGGATGGAAAACAATACTTCATGCAACAGGAAACCAAAAAAAAGTGGGGGTGGCTATTCTGTTTTCAGACAATGTGAAATTCAAGCCAAAAATGATCAGAAGGGATAAAGAAAGTCACTACATATTGGTTAGGGGAAAACTCAAAGAGGAAGAGATAACTATCTTAAATATATATGCACCAAATACCACAGCCTCCAGTTATATAAAACAAGTACTAACAAAAATGAAAAATGCAATTAGCAGTAACACAATTCTAACAGGAGATCTTAACACTCCATTGACACCAATGGACAGATCAACCAGACAGAAAATCAGCAAATAAATAAAAGAACTGAATCGCACCTGAACAAATAGACATATACAGAGTATTCCACCCAACAACAACACAATACACATTCTTCTCAGCAGCACATGGGTCATTTTCTAAAATAGACCATATATTAATTCACAAAACATATTTAAATAAATGCAAAAGGGTTGAAATTGCCCCTTGCATGCTATTGGACCATAGCCCTATGAAACTAGAAATCAATGATAAAAGATACTCACAAAATTCTCAAAACACATGGAAACTGAATAACACACTCTTGAGTAATCAGTGGGTCACAGAGGAAATTAAAGAAGAAATCAAACAATACCTAAAAACAAATGAAAACACAGATACAACTTACCAGAATTGGTGGGATGCAATGAAAGCTGTCCTCAGAGGAAAATTTATTGCACTGAGTTCACACATCAGGAAAACAAAACGAATACAAATAAATAACCTGATGTTACACCTCAAACATCTAAAAAAGAAGAGCAAATCAAGCCCAAAGCCAAAAGAAGAGAAGAAATTATAAAAATCACAGCAGAAATCAATGCAATAGAGACTAAAAAAAAATCCAAAAGGTCAATGAATCAAAGAGTTGGTTCTTTGAAAGAATAAAGTTGACAAGCCCTTAGCCAACCATATTTTAAAAAGGGAAGAAAAAGCTCAAATTCATGCAATACGGAATGAAAGAGGAGAAATCACTACAGACCCTATAGAAAAACAGAAGATCATCAACACCTATTTCAAAAACCTCTACTCTCAAAGGTTTGATAGCACAGAGGAAATAGACAGATTCCTAGAAGCATACGAAGTACCAAAGCTAGATCATGAAGATGTAAAACTTCTGAATAACCAAATTTCTATTAATAAAATCAAAAACGTAATTAAATCTTTACCTACAAAGAAGAGCCCAGGCCCAGACGGATTCACTGCAGAATTCTACAAGAAATACAAAGAAGAATTAATGCCAACACTTCTCAAACTCTTCAATGAAATTGAAAGGGAAGCAATCCTTCCTAAATCGTTCTTAGAAGCAAATATTACTCTGGTACCAAAACCTGAAAAGGACCCCACTAAAAAAAGAGAACTACAGACCAATCTCCCTAATGAACACAGATGCAAAAATCTTCAATAAAATATTGGCAAACAGGAAGTAACAAATCATCAAGAAGATCATACACCATGACCAAGTGGGATTCATCCCAGGCATGCAGGGATGGTTCAATATACATGAATCAATAAATGTAATACACCATATCAGTAGAGCCCAAAGTAAGAATCGCATGATCATTTCTATAGATGCAGAAAAAGCTTTTGATAAGGTCCAACATTCATTTATGATAAGAACTTTGCAGAAAATTGGAATAGATGGCTTTTACCTCAATATAATAAAGGCCATCTATGACAAACCAACAGCCAATATCATACTAAATGGCCAAAAATTGAAGGCCTTTACTTTAAAATGAGGCACAAGACAAGGATGTCCCTTATCACTGCTCCTATTTAGTATAGTTCTGGAAGTACTAGCCAGAGCAGTTAGACAAGAGAGAGAAATAAAAGGGGTAGAGATAGGAAAAGAAGAAGTTAAGCTATCATTATTTGCAGATGATATGATACTCTATATAGAAGATCCCCAAAGCTCCATTGAAAGACTTAGATATAATAAATAAATTCAGTAATGTAGCAGGATATAAAATCAATACTCAAAAATCAGTAACATCCCTATACACTAACAACAAAGTCACAGAGAGAGAAATAAGAGATGCTACACCCTTCACAATAGCAACCAAAAAAATGAAATATTTAGGAATTACTTTCATGAAAGAAGTGAAAGAGCTACACAGGGAAAATTATAATACACTGAGAAATGAAATTGAAGATGATCTCAGAAAATGGAAAGACACCCCTTGCTCAAGGATAGGAAGAATAAATATTGTGAAAATGGGCATTTTCCCAAAACTTTTATATAGATTTAATGCAATCCCGATAAAAATACCATCAAGAAATCACTCCTAAAATTCATCTGGAGTGAGAAGAGACCTAGAATAGCCAAGACAGTTCTAAGCAGCAAAGGCAAGGCAGGAGGCATCACAATCCCTGACTTGAAGTTATACTACAAAGCAATCGTAGTAAAATCAACATGGTACTAGAACCAAAACAGAGCTGAAGATCAGTGGAATAGATTAGAAGATACAACCACAACTACAAACACACTCAACCACCTTATATTTGATAAAGGGGCTAAACATGTTCAGTGGAAGAACGACAGTCTCTTTAATAAATGGTGTTGGAAAAACTGGCTTTCCATAAGCAGAAAACTAAAACCAGACCCATGCCTATCACCATGTACTAAAATAAAATCTAAATGGATCAAAGATCTAAATATTAAAACAGAAACACTAAATCTATTGGAAGACAAATTGGGTAAAAACCTTGAATACATAGGAGTAGGTAGAGAATTCATGAATAGGACTCAAACCGCATGGGAAATAATTCCCAGAGTCAATAATTGGGATCACCTCTTATTAAAAAGTTTCTGCACATCAAAAGAAATCTCCAGCATAGTGAAAAG